CTTAGGTTTTTTCCTGAAAAATCTACGATTATATGTTGTCATGAGGAAACACATTTGCATCATTTCAGACCTAGGAGTTGAGATCAAAGCAGCAATGGACTCTTTGAGTCCAATGTAGAAACCCCCACATGTCTAACATCGCCTATGTATCTGACATATTACTGTAAACTATCATGAAAAATATAAGAAGAATGATGAATGTCAATTAATTATACTTATGTGTATGTTACTTTTTTCAATTTCATTTCTCAATCATTTTTATTTTTATATATTTATAGATCACACTAACTAGTACATATGGTTTAAGTTACGAACTCTTACCTCAAAGGTGCGAGTTTATGCTTTAAGAGTTGTAAGGAAAAAAGAGAGAAATAATATAGTTACATCAGAGTCGTCAACAAAGAAATGTTGACAAATGCATATGATGATGGATATCGATATGGACATATGACAACCAGTTTGGCTGAGGCTATCTATTCAACCTTAAAGGGGGCACACCATTTACCTGTAACTGATGTGGTTAAAATGACATATTTTTGTTTGGGTAAGTTTTTTGCCAAACTCGGGGGACAAGCTCTTACTTGTATTTTTATCACCTAATATTAGTATTAGATCTACAGAAAAAAGTTTCAACATCAAATAGAATGTTGGTAACAAAGTTTTCTTGCACCCATGAATTATTTCGTGTCACAGAAATGCCACAACCTTTTCAAATGATTGAATCTAACACTTTCAGAATTAATCTACATGAAATGTGGTATGACTGTAAGTTTTTTCAAGCTCTGAAGTATCCACACTTCTATGTCATAACAACTTGCTCACATTCTCATTTGGACTATAAAAGTTCATGTTGATCTTGTATACCAACTTTCACAAGAATTCAAGGTATATTAATTTGAGTTTCCCACCATATGTAATAAAAAAGATCCAAATGAGATTCAGACTTGGCTTACGATTATACCAGATCCGTTGTTATTAAGGGAGTTAGGTCATCCAAAATCCACTCAAATTCATTGTGATATGAATATTCGAGAGACATCAAAAGAAAACAAAAGATGTAGCCATTGCATAAACCTAGGCCACAATAAGAAAAAACGTTCATCTATTTTATCATCAATTAATCGTTGACTATTACTTATGTAATTGTATTTTCTAATAGTTCACTTTATGTGATTTTATTTTCTTTTATAAGATGTGGCTTTCTTCTCATCCTCCTCCTCCTCCTCATTCTCCTTTTTCTTCTTTTTTTACAATTTAATGTTTATGATTCATTGTTTTGGGTTAAGGATTTAATCCTTACGATTAATATTTTAATTTTAATCTAACCCTAAACCACTTTACTCTAAAGAAACCCTAAATCTAAACCATCTTAACCCAAAAATCCTAAATCATTAAACATTAATAACCCTAAACTAGTATTAAAAGGTATATGTCTCGCAACACGCCTTCAAAGGCGCATCCCCTGCAAGGGGTGTTTCCTGCAACGAGCCTTCAAATGTGCGTCCTCTGCAACGAGCCTTCCACCGTGGCGCCAAATCAGCATAAACCCATAGAAAGGCACGCTCCCTGCAACGCGCCTTTCCTACATCAGCAAGGCGTGTTTCATGAATCATGTCTCCCCCTTATATTGTCAAAAAGGATGCTAGTTCGGTAGGTATTCAATAAATGATGTTAAATTGATATTTTTTATTATTATTTTGAGTAATTTTTGGATAAAATTACCAACTTTTTTTTTTCAAATATTTAACATGAAACTAGAATGATGGTAATGATAAAGAGAGACGAACAACAAATTTTATATTAATAGATGAATTTATAAAATTTATGAGAAAATAGGTTTATAAAATTTTAGAAAAAAATTAAAAAATTGAATTAAAAATATATAAATTTTTTAAAATTTTAAGAAATAACAGCTCGACTCCACCTGCACTTTCCTCGATCCATCCCTCGTGATGTGCCAAGTCTGGGTCATTGCTTGCTTGTGTTCCATTTCTTTCTCGTGATGGATGTGGATTTAATGTGATGGGATCGGAGGATCAAACCAAGACATTTAATTTGTAGCATATTTGACGGATACTGAAGGGTAGGTCCAACCATGTTTTCACGTTTTCTATTACCATTTTCTATTTGTTTTTATCAAAACTTTTGACCTCTAAACATTTTCAGCTTTTATTTTCATTTTTAATATTTAATTCAGTTTGGTAATGTTTCTGGTTTCTGGTTTCTGGCTTCATATGTTACATGTGAATTAAATTAGGTTTCAACCTCATCCTCTCAATTCGTTAAAGCGTTAGATGCGTTCCTGTCGGAATGCCGTAAATCACCGCCGGAAACATTGATTGGATCTTTAATTTAGAACCTCAACCACACTCCATCTCACTCGGGTTAGCTTCAATTATGCAATAGCCTCAACACTACAAATGGTCTAATTGTATCTTTCTCCTTCAAAAAAAAAACTATAATATTATAGATTAATATAATGCCAAAATAATAAGGGTAGAATACATAAATAGTCTCCGAATTTTTAAGGAGCTTGCATTTTAGTCACCCAATTTTTTTCAAAAAAGTCTCTAACGTTATCTCTCGTTACTTTTATCTAATGTGACAGTTAACTTCCGTTAACTCTAATAGTAGTCCTTCTATGGCCCAGGAATGACATCATAGAACCACCTTTGAAAATCTGAAGGGAAAAAAACTAGTTTGGTCATGACAACTGTTGTCATGTTTGCTTCACGCCGTATCCACTGAATCATTCTTATGCAACTTCTTGAACCACCTTGGATCATTCAGCATGTGCACTAATTGAATGAGAGTAAGCAATCCCCCAAAGAGTGTAAATACATCACTTAAAGATATCAGACTTGTATCAGCTGCTACTGCTCCATCTATATTGAGACAAACTCATCGTAGTTGTTGGATATCGTCTACGTCATTACTAAGGTTCCCAACATTTAGATGTTGAATTAGACGTTCAGTAAATGATAGATGCATGCAACAACACCCAAGATTGCATGTTGGCTCAAGCACTAACTAAACTTAAATCCAATTAAAAAGTATGTTTATTTTAATATTGGGGATGATGACTATGTACATTGATGGAAATGCTTGAAACTGTCTTCAAGGGGATAAGACACGGAAAAAGCTAAACTCGTCAAGCATTCAAACTCTTCAATCTTGAGGGCTCCATCAAAGGAGGAGGAGGAAAAAAAGAACTAACGGAAGTTAACTGTCACGTCAGATAAAACTAATAGGAGATAATGTCAATGACCTTTTTGAAAACGAACTAAAAATTTGATGATTGTATTGCAAATTTTAAAAGTTAGGTGACCAAACTGCAATCGCCCTAAAAGTTCGGAGACTATTTATGTACTTTACCCAAATAATAATTTGATAATCGAAAATATAGTTGTATATTTGAACAAATAATTTAACTGTAGATTCCGTCGCAATTTTCAATTAAAAATAAGATGTTTCGATGAAAAATTGAAGGAAAAAAATATCAAATTCAGTCTATGTATTATGATCAAATTGGCCTCCATTGATCTGAAATAGTTTTGCTCACTAGACACCTAATAACAAGTAACTTTGGCATTATATTCTGTAGAGAAATGACGAACATTCTGAATAGTCTCATATGTTCAACTCGAAGGATAAACAAATTAACAAACTAAACCTCAATCTATAAGACTGTAAAACGAGCACATGCGATCTTAGACTAGTTCAGAAGAGTGTAAAATGAGCACTTACAACCCCAGCAATACATCAAAAAGACTGAACGAGACATATAACCTCGACCAAGGAAGAAATGACAATGAACTTCTCATATGAACTGAGTTGAAATCATGTTTGCTTCCAATACTTGATTCGAATTAAGATTAAAAAGTTGACCATTCACATTTTCATCATAAGGATTGCAACGGAAACATAATTATAACAAAAGAAAATTTGGTGTTTATTAAAAACTATCCGTTCAAACAGATAATGGTTAATAGATGCAGTCCTCCAACAAGCAGCAGCAACAAAGAGTAGCCAAACTGCAATCACAAACCAGATGGAGGAGCTACAATGAGAAATCAATTGGTTGGCAACAAACATACATACATACATAATTATCATATCATAGATACTAGACTAGGGGTGTAAAAAGCTGACCCGACCTGTAAAACTGACTGAAACTGACTCGAGTTAAAACTGTTTTTTACCTGCGCTGTGGCGATCTGAAACCGACTCGAGTCTGAACGGGTGTTGACCTGAACCCGAATTGAACCGAAAATATGATACCCGAACAAGAACTGCATCCGACTAATATAAACCCGAACTCGAGATTGACCTGGTAAATAACTAGAGTTACCCGACCTGTTTTCAACCCGACCTGTTATGAACTTGACCTGTAATTGACTCAACCTGTAAATGATCTGACATGTTGTTAAAGTGATTTGGTATTGTCCTGACTTATAAGTAATATGTTACAATTAATATAATTATGTTATTTTAAATTTATAATGATCTTATGATAATTAAATTAATATGATTACTTTTTAAAATTTAGTTTTTATATTAATTATAATTTGTATATTATAAATTTGACTTTTATATTAATTCCAATTCTTTATATTATTTATAATTCTTGTATTATAAATTTTATTTATAATCACTAAATTAAATTTAAATATTGTCTTATTGAACATGATTTTATTAAATTATATAAATTGAGTTAAAATATTCATAAATCTAATTTACTTTTAATGTGAAAATTGATTAATAATTTAAGTATAACTTAACTTGAAATTTTAAAATAAAAATATATTAGTTGAAATGATGAACTTATTAAAGATTTGAAACTTGAATAACATTACAAATACTAAAACAAAAAAATTTATAAATGAAATTAATTTTATTACACTTGAAAACACTAAAATTACAATAAAATCAATTAAACAAAATAAATTTATGTTGGAATAAATGCTCTCAATCTTATAGCTAAGGTTTTACAAGGCTAAAAACCTAACTATACTACCAAAAATATCATCATCTAAGCCAGAACAACCCCACAAGCTGAGTTTCTTATTTATTGTTAATTCTTTCAGGCTGAGCAATCTTTACATCAAGCAAATAGCCTTTCACCAAACAACAAAAGGGCTATTTTAGTTGAATTTTTCAGCGTACATTTGAGTCTAGGGTCAAGTTATTCTTCAACAGCTGCCACTCCTCTGTGCAAGAGAGGTTTTGCCTGAAAATGTAAACAAACTTCAAGATTACGATTTCAATTTCACAACTGAAAAACAGACATTATCATGAAAATGTATGTGTTAAGTTGTGTTGCAGTGACGGAATCATGTCAGCTAACTACGAAGGAGCTCGCAGAGTATCATGATTAGTTCCAAAGCATTGAATCATTGAAGCACAAAATTTCTACAAATTCCAAAGAAAAGAACAAGTTCCTTGATGGAGCTGTCTCACCAAGAGTACTTGTTTAAACTTATGATGTAATGGTTATAGAGCAACTAATCATTTAGGTTCTATGGACAACTTTCAGAAGAAATTTCATTATCAAATGGTCATCATCCATAACAAGTAAAGTATTTTCACCACTCTCAGTTCGAATGTAAAGATCGGACCACTCTTTTGCCTCCGGGGAAGCTGTTACGGTGAACCATTCTTTCAACTTTCACAAACTTGGTGCAAAGTACAAATTAAACAATAACCTACCCACAAGACCAAGTTCTCTTCTCCTGGAGGCCGTCTTGCCTCGATTGGTTTCCGTCCGGTTATCAGCTCCAACAAGACAACCCCAAAAGCATAAACATCAGTTTTATCATACACTTTTCCATGTTGGGAATACTCGGGTGCCAAGTACCTACATACCCAAAATATGAGAGAAAAAAAGACAAATCTTTACCGAGTATTTCATGAAGCAAAATAAAACAAAAAAGTATCCTTTAGCTTTCTATAGGACAATGTTGTTGACAGCATACCCAAATGCTCCTTTAACAGTTTTGCAAAGGAATGGAATTACAATTGCAACCATTACAATTGCAGATATCACATAATCAAATTGCAAAACGACGACTTCTATCCGTTTTCAACTCAAGAATTAAGGACCAAGATCCTTACCTTGGGTGTTTTCTTGGAAGAAAGAAGAATGTTGGAGGGCTTGATATCTCTATGAACAACACATCATCCAGTTCCGTTGCTACTATAAATCCTTAATATACCGCAATTTAGCAAAATAAGCTAATTGGTCCAAAGGCTTTATGCTAGAGAATCAATTTTGAAATACCGAACATACAAAATGTAAAACAACATTGTACACACAGGAGATGCTGGCAACCTCTGTCAACATCCAAACCAGTTTATACCAGGTGTGAAGAACGCAATTGGAAAACTAAAGCATTTACATTCACCCGAAGTCCAGAAATTTAACAAGCATTCAATAATCCCTAATGAGTATTATCAACCTTCTTGTCACCCTATTAGGCTTTCATGTTTAGGAGTTGCTCATAGTCAGCTTGGAGATAAAATGTAGAATCCTAGAAGTCTGTATATATACATGCAGCTTCTTTCAACTAATGAAATCTATTTCAACAGATGCATTAGAAATTGTTGATGGTTGTTAACATACCCAATCTCAGGCATGATGTCCAATGAAACTAGAAACAATGTCTAGAACCACCTTACATGTTCTCTTATTTAACTACAGCACCAAGAAATTAAAATCCAATATACAAACCATTACTCAACCTTGAGTCATCTCCCATCCATAAATAGGGAATCCTTCGTATAACCCAATTCCTAACACGAACCAATTGCCCAGTACATTAAACTTTTGATCAAGAGTTACTATCTTGTTCTATTATGGTAGCTTTTACTTTACCCTGTACTTCAATCACCAAATAATTCCTATCTAGTTGTCCTAGATTAGGTATTATCATTAACAATACCAAGAACCTTACTCAAGCAACTCCCCCTCCCAAGAATAAAGGGAATTTGCTGACACAGCTAGCAATTATCACCTGTGATCCTAGCTTAGGCATACTAAAAAAAGAGTAATAGAGTTCAATAATGTCAACTTCTGAAGGATCTCAACGACGTATTATTAATATTTACTTTCAATTGGAAAGACAAATGATCTACAGTTTCAGATAACATGAAAGTACCGATGATATAGCACACAGTGCTTGTATCAGGCTATCAGCTATAGCACACAGTGCTTGTTGTGTTTAAACAATCTTTCATGCATTCTCGAACATAGATACATAGTCAAATTTGTATTTGCAAGCTACATATTCAGGAACATATAAAATCAATAGAAAAAATAAATAGCTGCAATTAGGGCTGTAAAAAGCTTCTTATTTGCAAAACGGTGTCTCCCCTAAATCATTTCAAAATTCATAACAAAAATAAGGAAGAGGAAGAAATGTATGTTTCATCAGTTCTGAGTTCTGAAATAATACATCCTTCAGGCAATTGAAAAGAAGTTAAAACAGGTGAATTACCAGAACTTGAACTTTTTCCTTTCAATGTGCCATTTCAGACATTAACTCATAAACACCCGAATTCTGATCTATCCCTTCCATGCACATGCCAACACCTACCTACACATCATAAAAAGTTCGATGATTGAAACTGTTCTATACAAGTAATATGTCATAACATGGAAGTATATATATATATACACACATAAAAGTCATATAAGGCCATGGAATGCAAAAGGTAAGTTAAAAAGAATGGGGAAAGGATGGCATCACAAAAAAAGTTTAGACACAGAAGTTAAAAGACTCTTAACCTTTCCATCAGGTTGCATTACAGAAAAAAAATTCCTAATTCATTCTAGTCCCGAAAGCTTTAAATATTTAAAATGTTCATTTCTAGCAATGATTAGAAAATATTCAAAAAGGAGACACTCGCGTACCATGGTTGAATTTTTACTGATGCGAGCATCCGCTGGACTTGAAGAAATTGCATCCAGTGTTCCATTCATTTCAATATTTCCTACAAAATTATGCAGTAAACACCTGATAAAGATATTTTCAAAATTATCGTGAATTCCATAATACAAACATCAAATTACATGTTAAAGAAAAAGATTGTCAAAAAACTGAGAGGAAATTGCCCATATCGGTTTGACATCAGCGAATAAATCAAGAACTATCATTTTCCCTACTGGAACAGAATGTAAAAGTACCGTTCACTCACTCTGATTGCGATTCAAATTGTTGATTTCTTCATGCATAGGAGTAAGTTCGTATGTTTTGCTGGTTATTTGCAGCTTGTAAATCATGTTTATTTCTCACCTGATGGGCTATGGGTGGCCAGTGCATCATTTGATAAGTCAGTCAAGCTATGGAATGGTGCTATTGGAAAATTTGATAAGTCAGTCAATGAACTGACATAAAATGTAAACAAAGATTATGGAATTAGTTAAAATAGTACGAAATCGTTCCAAATCACTAAAATAATTTTGGCGAATTAATTATAAAACCCTAAAAGAGGGACAATATTAGGGTGATGCAAAGAGCTAGCAATCATCACTTCTCTGCAAAAGGCCTTAGCAGATTTCTTATCTTCTTTATCCAACCTCTTAATAGCCACAGTTGTCTTCAACAGTCCAACTCTGCCTCTGAAAACAAAGCTCGATGCTCTTCTCCCCAAAACTTTGTCTACACCATTTTCTAATAACAAAACAATCAAAACCCCAAACCAAAAATATGAATTAGAGAACAATTGAACAAAAAGAAATAAACCAAATCAATGAAGTTCATACCTTCGGAAAATTTTCTAGTAGCTGAAACAATTTCGCCATAGTTGAATTTAACCAAAGATTTTGCCACAGGTGAAATGCTTCTTTCCAAAGACTCAATCCTACTCCATTTCAATTCTTTAGATCTATCATCACTGACCCCATTATACAAATTCACCATCAAATAGTTGAACTCAAAGAGCCGGTAGCCATGGCTTCTAGTTTAACTTGAGAACAAAAACTAAACCTTAGTCAGGGAAAACGGGAAACAACAATGAAAGAGGGAAAAGAGAGAAAAGGGGGAGATTTTAGATGCTGAGCGGGGAAGAAGAGAGACCAAAATAAAGGAGGGAAGGTTTGGTCGGGAAGAGGCGGGAGAAAATGGTTACTTTTGACGCATGTTTTCAATTTCATTCCTATAAAATTTATATTAATAAATTATTTATAATTAATATTAAAATAATTAAATATTAATATTAATATTAACTTATATTAATATAATCTAGTTTATAATTTATAATTAATATTAATATAAAATATGGTCTATAAAATTAATATTAATATAAACTATATGTTATAAATTATATAGTATAGTTTATAAACTATAATTAATAATTAATATTAATACATTATAGTTTATAAACTATTTATTATATTAATATAAATTATATATAAGATAATTAACATTAATATAAACTATATATTACATTATTATAAACTATAGTTTATAAATTATATACTATGGGTTATAAAGTATAAACTATATAGTACACTAATATAAACTATTGTCTATAAACTATAGGTTACATATATAGTTTATATAACATATAAATAGATTGTATATACATATACTATAGGTTATATATATAGTTTATATATAATATACATAGTTTATACATACATGTATTATAAGTTACATATATAGTTTACATGTATACATATACTATAGGTTACATAGATTAACTATTGTTCATTCATGGTTTTAGGGTCTATGTTTAATGTTTAGGGTTTAGGGTTTAGGGTTTAGGGTTTCTATAAACTATATAAATAATGTACTTTATATGGTTTATATATGTAAGTTATATATATATAGTTTATATATACTATACATAGTTTGTACATACATGTACTATAAGTTACATATATAGTTTACATGTATACATATACTATAGGTTACATATATTAACTATTGTTTATAGACTATAGGTTAATATTACATATATAATCTATATAAACTATATAAGAATTATCAAATGTGTCTATACATATATAGTTTATAAAGTTTAGGGTTTAGGGTTTATGTTTAGGGTTTTATAAACTATATACTTTATATTATATACTTATATACTTTATATATAAACTATATAATTTATACATAGTATATATAATTTATAGTTTATATTAATAAACAATATAATTTATACATAGTATATATAATTTATAATTATACATAATATATAAATATAAGTTGTATATATTTAAATATAATTCATATATAATTTATATACTAACTATATAATTTATATTAATAAACTATATAGTTTATATAGTATATAATAATATAAATATAAACTATATAGTTTATATATACACTATATAGTTTATATTAATAAACTATATAGTTTATACATAATATATATAGTTTATATATTTTTACTTATAATTTCATATTTGTTCAATTTAGTCATTAATTTAATATTTTTTCATAAAATTGATCAATGATTATTTATATTCTTAGAATTTACTCTAAATCGTATACAATTACAAATTACAATTTAACGTTTACGAAAGACGGAAATAATTAATCCAAAAATAAAAATTGACTCGATTTGAACTCAATCCGTATCTGATAAAGATCCGACCTGAATTTTATCTGTCAATGATGTCACCCGATCTGAACGAGATCCGCCTGAAGTCCATCCGAACCTGAATTAAACTGGTCTTTATCTGTTCCAGACCTGAACTGACATCGATCAAACTGAAAGTAACCCGACCTGAACCCGATCTGTACCTGGTGTCAAATCAACCTGAAAATGACTCGACCTGATCCTAGTTGAAGCATCAAATTTACCTGACTTGACATGTATCCGTTTTTACCTGACCTGACAGGATCCGACTGAAACCTGAACGATTACTCGATTTTACATCCCTAATACTAGATAGAGACCCCATGCCACCCAGTTAGGAGGGAAGTGAAACCATTGTGATAATTGTAATGACTCCGAGGAGGCAGACCTGGCGGTGCCGGTGGTGAAGGGTGGCCTTGGTAATAGTAACCTTGATAGCCAGGTGGCGTTGCTGACGAATGATGACTATGATTATATACAACTGCTGGTGGCGGTGGTGGGAACCCTGGAGATGAGTCCCCTGTTTTGCAATATAACAGTCAATTTTGTTCAAATACTTGCACTTCATATAAAGAAAATAATTACTGAGATTACCAAACCAACTAATCGTTTGCCTGATGGGTTTAGGGGATGATGAGACACATTTTGATGGTTGTAACTCATTGTTCCAAATTTTAGACTCCGGTACGATGCTTGTCGGGAGATAGTAAAAGATTGCACAAATGAAGAAATATTTTCTTTCTTTTGTTGAGTTTAGAATGCAATTCTTTCTAGCTAATATTGAATCAGACAAGGGAAAAAACAAAGGGAACCGAAACTGATGTAATCTATATAACTGACAGATCTAAAAATTGAAAAATGAGGTTTAAAATTTTAATACTCGGTTCTAAAAATTTGGGTGTGCAAATTTTCTTATTTTTTCCTATTCTCATTAGTAAACTAAACTAAATTTAACATTTTTCTCAAAATAATAAGTGTGCAATGACTCCCTATTGATCCCTGTACATCCGCCCCTGATCTATATCGTTCTTTCTCTTTGTTTTAATCTATAATTTTAAAACACCAATTAAGTGGCCTTCGTACTAAAGAAATTGTTATTATTTTATGAGAACTCGAGCACCATAGATACTAGAGGCAGTGCCAGCGCTAGGCCAAGGTAGAAGGTTCGCCGCCCAGGACCCAAAAATTAAAAAAATAGTATAATATTTTTATTAATTTTTATAATAAATTAAAAAATTGTAAAATAAAATTAGGCAAACTACGTATTAGTACTTAAAACTATCAGTTTTGATCTGTTTTAATACCTAAACTTTTAATTTTTTTCAAAATCATACATAATGTTTAATTTTCATTTCATTTTAGTATCCGCTGTTAAAAACTTAATGCATTTAGTACCTAAACTATCAGTTTTTGTTTGTTTTAATACTTAAATTTTCAATATTTTTTAAACTTAACATTAAATTTTGAATGGGATACTAAAATGAAACAAAAAACTAAAGCTTTTATCAGCCAATACTAAATCAAACAAAAACTAAACTTTAGGTATGATTTTGAAAAAATTAAAAATTTAGGTACTAAAACAAAAAAAAACTGATAATTTATGTACTTAACGTGTAATTTACCTAATAAAATAATGAGGTCCATGAATTTATTAAAGTGTCAATTGTCATCATTGAATTTTATCTTAATGTTAATAAACTATTCTTATAATAAAATTATAATTCAATATTTCTTTCCCAAAATTAAAAAAAATCATTTGAATCTCTTTAATTTTGGTCCTTCCAAATTCCCACCATCAATCATCAAATCTATTTCTTGATTTTCCATATCAATGAAAAATTTTATTAACGTTATTTTTTATTTAAAACTCAAAGAGATAAAAAAAAATAAGTATTATCATGCTTCTTTTTTAGTTAATGTTTCTCGATTCCTCTAAAAATTATTATTTTCATTTTTTAGTTTGTCATATTTCTCGCACACCAAATCATAATTGTTTATCAATATAACAAATTTAAATTGTTTAAATATATTAACATATTTCTTAATTTTTTTATATAGGGATGCACTTTTTATTTTTGCCCGAGTCAAAAAATAATCAAGATCGGTCTTGACTAAAGGTGTGACTGTTCAATATCAAAAAATTGAGAGTCATTTTAAATAAATTTTATTTTATACTTACCTCATATTAATAAAAAATAATATATGATTTTAAAGGGAATAGTAACGTTACAGTCATCGTACTATATCTAATAAGTATTTAAAAAAAATACTATATCTAATAAGTCTACGCATATTTTTTCTGAGTTATATTTAAATGTATGCTTTGCGCTGATTTATCGATATTAATTTAGATTATGATATTTTGAAATTTTAGCCTAACAGTAAATTGTAATATTTTACTTAATTACAATGATCTAATATATTATTTTATAATAATTCTTGATATATATAGGAAGGGATTTCAAAGTTTCTAGACCATGCGAGGTAAGGGTATTATTCAGCTAAGCGACATGTCATCAAGTCGTGTTCCCACGTGTCAATCGTAGAAACATTCTACCTTGACAAAGTGGTTAAATCTAATTGGCAAACGCCTTAGGGTGTACACATCAACGGCTGTTCCTGATGACACAAAAACAATCGATTAAACTGGAAACTTATTTGATTGGTCAAGGAACCAAAGTCGAGACCATGAACTGAAGGTGCTAGAATTTACAAATCCGTTTACCTAAATACCCCTTCTGGAAATATCATGCTTGCTTATCTAAAGCTCAAAAGGATTCCTTTCTAGAGAATACTTAAATGCAAAGAAAATAAGAAGAAAAGGTTTTTCTTGAAGTCCCTCATCAATATATTGCAAGTCTTAAAGTCCCATAGCTGTAATCTATATTACCAAACAATTCTCCGTTCAAAGACCATGGCAGCAACACCCGAAGGAAACGCTAAACTAGAAAAAGTAGCCCATGAACAACCAAAAGCAGCACCACCATCGGAAGAAGAAACTAAGAAGTGGGGCACACACGTGATGGGAGCGCCGGCGGCCCCTAGTTCCCATCCAGACAACCAGAGGGCAGCTTTATGGAACGCCGGTGACCACCAGCAAATCTATGAGATACCCTACGTCGTTTATTCGCCTGCAGAAAAGCCAAGCCATAATAATCCTTTAGAATCCGTGATTAACATGTTCAATACCTGGAGTAGCAAGGCGGAGTCCATAGCACGCAACAACTGGCACAACCGTAAGTTCATTCTCAATTGCATACATCTCGATAACTACATGATCAGATATACTTACAAGCATGAAATTTACAGTGAAAACGGGACCGTCCGTATCGGAAGCCGCATGGGGTAAACTAAACCTGACGGTAAAAGCTATAACGGAGGGTGGATTCGAGTCTCTGTTCAAGCAGATTTTCGCGGCCGATCCGAACGAAAGGTTGAAGAAAACATTCGCGTGTTATCTGTCGACGACAACAGTTGTCGTTCATTTCTCCATCGGGTCAGGAGACTTGGAGCTACTACAAGGTGATGAT